CCTATGGAGTTTTTTTTTATTCTTAGACTTAAGTTGTAGTTAATTTGTAAGATGTAAATATTTATGTAACTATAACAATAAATTATAACTAATTGTATATATAACCAATTTGATATAATGAACTAGCTTCTGCCCGCGACTTCGTACGCGTAATCCCATTTTTACCCGTCCCCGTTCGTGATTTTCGGTAAAAAGTAAAAAAAAAATGTTGGTCAAAAAGTATCCTATGTCGGTCTCCTGGCTCTAAGCTAACCTCCCTACCAATTTTCAGCCAAATCTATTCTGCCGTTGTTGAGTTATAAGTGGTATAACTAACACGACTTTCTTTTATATATATAGATTATTATGCATTATAAGGTATAGGTTTTCGCGGGCGATCAGATCGAGGTAGGTTTCATTTCCAGAACATGTAGTTTACTAAAACAAAACACCGTGCAAACCTCGGTCATCCAGGTACTTATTCATAAATTACCAATCTCATAATAAAAACTTCATCTAGTTAAGTCAACACGAAGAAATTCATCAATTACCTAATGCTATTACAAAATAATATATTATTATGCAAATGTAACAAACATTCACACGAATTTAAAAACAAATCGACCATCTGTCAAAAATGACATTTATTTACCCTGTAACAGGGTAACAAGAGGGTAAAAATTATCGTTCGAATAATCTAATTGTTATCGATTTATTCGCAAAACTTGTGACATATGTGACAAACATGATTAGCAGTATTTAGACCCCTTAAAGCAAATAATATTTAGCACGGGGTAACGCGGGGCACAATGAAGAGGGTAACGTTAGGTTTATGGGTAAATAAAATTAAATAAATTAGTGCGCACTTAATTTTATTGGGTCATTTGTGATTTAGATGTTTTTAGTCATTTTGTATATTATTTGCTTGACTGCCTCGTTGGCCGAGTGGTCGCAAGTGCGACTGCCGGGCAAGGGGTGTCGGGTTCGATTCCCAGGTCGGGCAAATTATAACTAGGTTTTTAAAAAAATCTCAGTTGTAGCACGGAGTCTGGAATTGTTCACGGTATATGGCAATAGGCTCACCCCCTATTACATGGAACTCAAAACATAAATAGTGAAAAGTGGGTGTTACATTGAATGAATGAATGAATGTCATTTATTTCTCAGTACATGGTGCACACAGATCTTAAAATTAACAAAGTTCCACACATACTACCGTTACCGGCGTAGAAATATAAAATTGTAATAACAGTATTAATTTATGTCTAATTAAAGGACAATTATATTAAAATTAGTATTATTATTATTGGTAACAATTCAAATAAATTAAAACAGGTAAAGTCAGAAAATAAATTAGGAATGTCAATAAAATTAAGACGTCATTAAGAAGAAATTATGTATCAGATATTGTAGTCAAATTGTAATATACTAAAAAGTCAATAAATTAATTGTCACAGCAAATCAGGAAGTCAGGTGAGAAATTTATAATTAATTTTGGTCAAAAAACATGGAGGCACTGATTAGCACGATGATACAATGATTTAAAAAGCTGCATACCTACAGCTGCTGTTACTTAGGAAGTCTCGGGTAGAATAAAAACTCTCCTGAACCAACCACTTTTGTAAGGCACGACAAAACGGTTTATATGGCAGCTCGCTAATTCCTCGGGGTAGACAGTTAAATATGAGCGGCGCCATATATGCACAACTTTTTCTATAAAGCTCTAGTTTAGGGATGGGCATTTTCAGGGGCAGCTGAGTGATCAAGCGTCTGTTAGCATTATCGTTAGCAACGAACAAATAACTATGATATTTCACATATACAGTGTCATCAAGTGTCGTAATGTGCACCTCTGTCTACCCCTTGCTAAAATGCGTGGCGTTATGTCATATTTTTCCTTCCAAACTGTGTATTGACTACAGAGTAAATGTATCACCACCGCTACTCTTCCCGCGGGTGTCGTATACCCGACACATTTGACAGAGACAAAGTACTTATGTATGTATATTCTGTAATATATCTCTTACTAAATCGATTGGAACCAAAGATTTTAACATTATATTTGACAGTAGTCGATAAAAAATAATGTATCTAAAGAATAATGTATCTTCAACATATAAGATGAAAATAATATTTGTTTCGTAGCTATCAATAAGATAACTTATCAGTTACTTATCAACACAATAAAGTTCTGATTGTCGATAGTAAGTCTCATTTCTTATGAGTGTGACATTTTATTAGTATTATTTTTTATATGATAGTTAGAGTGCGTGGAGATGCCTGTCTGGGACTCAAATTTTATACTTTTTTATAATAACTATCGTGAGAGGTACTAAAATAACTAAAAATAGCGAGTAACTCACGTGAAAATACTGAGAAACTCTTTACTACTCAATACGGGTTGGCGATTACTAACTTATAATTACAAAGTTAAAAGTAAAAATTACCTTCACCGTTTGTCAGTGGTGTCTAGATAATCTTAGAAAGTACATATAACTCGGGAAAGTCACATTGGTACGTGACGTTGGTAGGTTTCGAACCCGCACCCTCATGCATGAGAAGCGGGCGTCTTAAACCTCCGCGCCACCGCGACTAGTCAGTGTTCAGTTTTGTATATTAACTTTCACGGACAGGCAAAACCACTTTGTAGATATATATCGTCATCATCATCATCAACAGCCTATAAATGCCCACTGCTGAGCAAAGTCTCTTCTCACACGGAGAACGTTTGAGCATTAATCACCACGCTTACTCAATGCGGGTTGGCGATTACTAACTTATAATTAGAAATTATAATAAGTAAGTCACATTGGTTTTTGCCGTTGGTAGGTTTCAACCCGCACCCTCATGCATGAGAAGCGGGCGTCTTAACTTCCACGGACAGACAAAACCACTTTGTAGATAGATATCGTATCAACATCTTAAAATCTAGATCGCTTTATCATGATGAATTGATCGCGAATAAAGTATTTTATCTTTTTAGTTCATTGTATTTCACATTCAAAAAGCAATAACATTAATATACGTCATATTTTTTAAAGGGATAAGTTCGCCACAACCTCCAAAACCACTGCAACTCCTGTAAGCCAGGATCTACAGTAGATACAACCATGAAAACACCGGAACACTGAAGTCCGGCGCGTCCCAGGGACATGAGTAACTGTCTTGGTTCCCTCAACGAAGTGAATCAGAAGATATTATAAGAGGAGAAGAAAAAAAATGTAATAGGTAGTCATATTAGGGTTCATTCGCTTTTTGACATATGACACTTTGCTCCATGACATGGAGTAATAAACGAGCAGGCGGATCATCTGATGGTAAGTAATAGGCGCAGTCCATGGACACCTGGAACAGCAGAGGAGTCACAGGTGTGTTGGCACTTACCAGCCCTTTAAGGATTGGGGGTTTTGGGGATAGGGTGTGGTAGTTTTACGTTTGTTTTCTGTGAGGCCGTGGTAGCACTCCTAGTCGAGATAACCCCGTCGTACAGTAGCATGGCTTTACCTCGTGAGATTTCTTGTTCAAACATTAAAATATCACGATTTTGGTACCCTAAAGCAAAAGGCAGAACACTTTATCAACAGCCCGTAGTGTTGGACTATGAGCTTTCTCTACATAAGAGGGATTTACCATATTCTCCGCGCTTGGCAGTTGAAGAACACAGTATAAAAGGTTCAGGTTTATCAGAGATTGCTGCTGCCCGGTCTCTGTCAAATGTGTAGTATCTTAGTCGGGTATATGACACCTGCGGGAAGTAGGGGTGGTGAAACATGTATTCAACTCTTCTGTTAAATGAGCAGACGTATCACCTGATGAGTGATGATAAGTAATCGGCGTGGCAGCGCGGTTCCGTCTGTGGACATACGCAAACACCAGAGAAGTTACAAGTGTGTTGCCAGGCCTTTGGGGGTGACAGACTTGAGATTGACGGTTGAAGAGATAAGGGAGGGAAGAAATTGAGCCTCCGAGTTCGGATGTTCCGAGATTTTGTGATAAAATTTTCAAAACGCTAGGAATGTTTTACCATTCACATCAATACCCTATAAGTACCCACTGCTGAGCAAAGCCTCTACTCACACGGAGAACTTGTCGATTATTCTACGTGTTAAAAGGCGTGGTTACTATCATAGACCAGAGGCAGGAAACAAGATAAGATTAAGCAAAGATGAATGCTGTTTCCAAATCTGTTATCTTTTACAAGTAATACTTTTTGACAGAGTATTATTGTATCACTAACATTTGTTCTCATTGTTTCATCATTATTGATCAGCAGTTTAAGTCCAGTCAACAAGGATTTAGCATAGACTGTGATGTGGAATTTTCGCAGGCAATACATCTGATACTTCTCTGGTATTGTGGATGTCTATGGCGCTAATCGCTTACTATCAGGCGATCAATTTTATTACGCCAGTTATGGCATTATAAAAGGTCTATCCGAAACAGACGAAGTAAGGTACAGTCGTCGTTTGTTTTAGAAAGAAGGAAGATTTGATTTGACTGCCTCGTTGGCCGAGTGGTCGCAAGTGCGACTGCCGGGCAAGGGGTCTCGGGTTTGATTCCCGGGTCGCGCAAAGTATTATTGTTTTTTTTTTAATTCTCAGTAGTAGCACGGGGTCTGGAAATGTGTAATAAAAAAAAATCATTTATTTCGGACATCTAATAGATCCATAAAATTAATTAATACCATACATCATTAATACAATACCATCGCACCGCGTAATACCCACTTATCACTAATTATGTTATGAGTCGCATGTAATAGTAATAGGGGGTGAGTCTATTACCATATACCGGGCACATTTCCAGACTCCGGGCTTGAGAGAGATGAAAATTTTGGAGAGCTAGGATTTAATAAATATTGGCGGGCGAGACTGGTCATATACCGCGGCCTCTCTCAAAGCAGGGTGGTGTTAAGTCAGTAAGAGTCTGATACTCATTCACCAGAGGCGGGAGAAATCACAAAAAAAGACTAAAAAAACATCATTTACCTAATATTTGTATAAAATACTCCATGAACTTACCTCCAAGCTCAGGTATCCTATGATAAAACATGCCGGTTCTTGCTAACCACTCCAGCTGCATGTGGTGGAGCACCCTGTCTCCAGGGTGGTGGAAGGCGGACGGCAGTGGAGCCCCGGGGGGCAGAGCGCCCGGCTGTGACAGCTGGGGGTAGTTGAAGAGTGCTGCTGATTGTGCTGCTACCAGCGCTGGGTTTTGAGGTAGAAGTCCTGGTTTTGGGATTATACCTGTGGAAGAATATGGGTGTTAATATTGTGTTTAGGTGGTGGAGAAACAAAAAAAGGGGTTCTGAAAGGTGTAAGTATTTTATAAGACTAACGCCTGAATACTGGATGGCTACACAATAGGGGATCGGACGACTTTTCAACAACTATTTTAAACTTATCGTCGTCGGGAGGTCGTTACGTCACAACGTGCTACAAAATGTGGCACGCTGTGATGTCGGAAGTATTTAATTTTGTGAGAAAAGAAGTAATGTTTGTTCCGTGCGGGAATCGAACCCGCGACACGTTGCGTGGCAGCCAATTGCCAGCCACCGCACCAACGTGCAGTCTATACAATTTACAATATTCACACATACCTGGTCTATAACTCTCATACTCTTCATTGCCACCTTCCACTCCTGGCGATATCGGTGGACTGTAACTCCCAGACCGGTTCCCATCATCAGACCCTGGACTAGCCGACCGACTGCTCTGCCCAGACCTGGGACTCCGTTGTCCAGACGTAGGACTCTCCCGACCCTCACATTTATTTATCATATTCTGCTCAATTTGTGAATCGTAATTTTCTTGATACCTGCCGATATAGTTTTTATTGTGGATTATTGTCAAATATTTTTGGTGAGCCATTTTGTCTTGAAGACTATTTTCAGGTAACTGTCTTGAGAGCAACGCGTCTATGCAAAAAGATTTCTTTCCCTGATTCAGAATGGTTTTCTCGTCATCCATTTGTTTATAAAATTTCATGTTTTTAGGGCTATTCGATCGGCTGCGGTCTGGGTTCGATTCCGTGTCGATTTCTAGCGGTTTTTCTTGGATTTCGTTTGAATCCCGACGGTAGATACCATGCGACATGATTTGTGACGACATTGTTTTGGTGTGACAAGGTTTACATTATGTACCTGTAAAAAATACATAGATTAAATATAGCAATAAAAATATGTAACCAAAAATTGTACCGACTCGTTTCGGCACGCCATATTAAAGCGTGCAGTCGTGAATAATAATGAAATAATAACACGCGAGCGGTTATTCAGAATTGTATTGTGAACCTGATTGAAAAAGAGTAATTTATGGAGTTTCTTGCTCGTTCTTCTACAAAGGAATCTACACCTTGGAACGAGCAAAATAATAGAGCATCTAGGGGGTAACCGACAGACTGATACTTTTAATATTTGTTTGACGTTCCTGGTCTAATTGAAATAAATGATTTTGACTTTGACTATATTTCAATTACACCAAAATTAGGCACTTTTGAATGTCAAACAGATTGTAATGTAACACCCACTTTTCACTATTTATGTTATGAGTCCCATGTAATAGGGGATGAGCCTTTTCAGTATTGAAACGGTGTACGTACGCAACCAAACTCCATGCTTTTACAAACCGATAAAGTGTAAAGTGGGTGTTAACATAATTAGTTTTTGCCTATTCATGCAACATCAGCCTTGAGCAGCTAAATAGAAATGTTATTACATAAAAGAAAAGCGACTGCCGGGCAAGGGGTCTCGGGTTCGATTACTGGGTTTTAAAAAAAAATCTTAGTAGTAGGACGGTGTCTGGAAATGTGCCCGGTATATGGCAATAGGCTCACCCCCTATTACATGGGACTTATAACAAAAACAGTGAAAAGTGGGTGTTACTTCTTTTTTTTTTTTACTTTTTTTTGGGACTTATAACAAAAACAGAAAAAAAAAGGTGTTACTTCTTTT